TGTATAAGACGGGATATACACCCTGGTTGCGCGAGTAGAACATGAGGATTATTGTGAGTCTTTACCTTTGCATTATTGCAGACTGTTAAAAATATTGAGGTGCTAGTGTAACACGTTACATACAGACCTTTAGGTGATTGGTAATGTTTTGAAACACCGTAAGCAGGAATCAGTGAAGAGGCTGTACCTTGGTTCCCAGCTGCACCTTGACGTCCACCTTCTGTTTCTTCTGCTCCAGAATGCTCAGCAGGTACTCCTGAAACACGCCTATCCTGGTGAAGAAATGCTCGTTGTGCCAGCAGCCCTCCATGTTATCAAAGTCCACCCCGAGTCCCAGCAGAAACTTCACGCTGCGGGGATCCAGGGCGATCTGCTGGGGCCGGCAGAGCAGGGCAGTCCGGTACCTCTCATCCAGCACGGTCAGTTTCAGGACCTTCCCGGAGCGGACAGCGACCAGCGCGGCCGTCAGCCCCACGGGTCCCGAACCCACGATGAGCACCGAGATTCTGGCCCGCCACTGTCTGATACCGTCCAGGCTCACTTTCACCAACACGTACACCGCCACTGCCACCAAAGTGCTCAGAGCAGTGTCATAGGCGAGAGCGCGGTACTTTTCCTCCGCGTTCTCCCCGATGCCGCCAACTCCAGCATTTTCCGCCTGCAGCCCGTCCATCCGTCGAGCAGGAATGATACTGTGAGTGTGCCAGAAGATGAGTGCCAGCTGTGTTCTCCCGTCTCAACCAGCCGAACGTCCTCTCATCTCATCTATGCGTTCACTGAAAGAGCAGCAGGGTTTACATCCATGCACACACACACACACACACACACACACACAGACCAGCTGCGACTTGCCACATGCGTCCTCTACGCTCCCTCCGCTGCAAGTTGAGTTGTTGCAGCACGCTGGACTCCTCTCTCCCTCTCTCTCCCTCTCTTTCCCTCTCTCTCTCTCTCTCTCTCTTCTACTCTGAAATAAGGTGTGCGCCCTGTATGGAAAGCCAGGTAGCTCAAATAGCTATGGCAATTTAACACATAGGCAATTTGTGCACATAAATTAAAAGTTGTAAATATTCATATATATATATATATATATATATGTTCATATTCATATTATAATATTCATATTTGTAGAAGTGCCAGGACTTCAGAAAGCCAGTGGAAAACTAGGCGTAGGCATCTTTTCTTAAGTCCACTAAAATACTCAACAGCAAACTGCAGGGGATGGACAGTGTGCTTTGGTTTTACTCAGAGTAACTATTGATTTACTGTTGCTAAAACAAGAGGGGTCGATTCTCTCTCTCTCTCTCAAACACACACACACACACACACACACACACACACACACACACACACCACAAACACACAAACCACACAGCACACTACACACACACACACACACACTACAGCAAACCTTCTGTATTATCCCAAAGGACTGATTATTGCTATTTTCCAACAACAAAATTCCATTTGGGATGGGATGACAAGTGTTGTAAAACGCAGATCTTGACAAATCTGATTGGATGAGGAGAGTGAACAGAGTCACTCTAAAGTTTCTGGCAAAAGATGAAGAGAAAAGCCAGACGACAGGGGGACGCTGGCAAATGTTTCCGCAAAGCACATCAGCTTGTAGGAAGCCTCACATTCATCCCTCCTATATCCCTCTGTGCCTTGCATTTCAGTTTCAATTGAGTGTATCTTTCCTTTTCCTTTCTTCTTTCCACTCATGTCCTATCTGAGACAAAAGGGAAGCAGTGGCCAAGAAGACACTTCACCATGGTGATGGCTCCTCAGAGGACAGGGCCAATTGATATGAAAGGATGCATTTCTGTGGTGCTGCTGCTGACGGTGGATTGTAATTGCACACTGAAAGTATAGCAGAACAGAGATGATGATGCAGTAATATTGTTCACGTTTTTTCATATTTCGTTTTACTATATGTTTTTGTTTGTTTATAATCTGCACTGTGATGGACAAGTGACCCCGCTACACCTGTCCTACCCAGGTGGTATGGGCTCCTTTTACACATACCTCACAAAGGAACAACAAATAAAGGAGCTGAATAAATGGACGCTATGAATAGCATTTGGTGTCATATTCTCCCATCGAAATATTCCCCATTATGTTTTCCTCCTCTCAGCTGCCACTGCTGAACGACCCCAATGCATTACATTCATTATACGATTTAACATTTTAACTAGTGCTCTGACCTTTAAGCCCCATTTGAGCTCTGCTAATAAAATGAGCACTTTTGAAGGTGGTGATGACATCAATTTACCCAAGTGACTTCTGATATATGCCAAAGACTTCAAAGGAGACTGACAGGGAAGTTCATATGACGTATTTGCCTCTGTGTTTGCGACTATGAACAAAGAGTGCATGAATCCATAAATCCATTTAAATTGCTAGGGATCCAGGGAGAAATGGAGAAGAGAAACACAAACATGCACAGAGAAAGAGAGAGAGAGAGAGAGAGAGAGAAGAAGGAAGAAAGAGAGAGGGGGAGACATATTGGTGTGATACACTATGCCTCCACCGGTAATTGGTTTCCACCTCTACCCAGGTGCCTGGCAACAATCATACCGTCCAGCTAATCCAGGTGAAAAAAGAAATGAAGCTCTAATTACCTACAAGCTGGCCCATCCACAGACAAAGCATTTCCATGGAAATTAATGGGGAATGGTCAACAAAAATGATGAGCTGAAATATTCCATGTTGGTGCTCTTAACGATCAATTTATGGAACTAAACTGTTGTTTTTATCTAAATGCAGAAATGAGTTGAAAGCACAGCATGGTAAATATATGGTCTACATCCACTTGTTCTGCATGCATGAAACATCCGTAACCTGCTTAAATAATGTTTCTGTACCTTTACGAGTAGACTTTTACCTACAGTGAGATTATTCGAAAAGTATCTCACCCACCTCAAGTACTTCCTGAACATGAACTAATTCACTACTACAATTAAGCATCTAAGCAACACTTCTCCTTTGATTTTCACATTAGCGTGCTAATATATGCAGTTACACAAGGGCTATGGAGATAATCCGTCCACGAAGCCTCTGGATTTGAATGTGTTAATGACACTTAGTGGATCTCTGACACGTCCTGCTCTAACACCATCCTACGCCTGAACAAAAGGAGCATAGAGAGCAGGTTTTTTTTTATCAGCTTGCCCACATCTTACAGCCATTAATGGGGCTGTGCATAGATCTGAGGTCATTAGAGAGTGAGAGAGAAAGAAAAGTTAGGCCCCCACATAATGAAGACAAACCCTCATTGTTGTCAGGGAGTTCAGGCGGTATTAAACCAGCATTTCCACATACAGGGTCTTACTGCCAAGAGAATGGGATGAGGCCACGCATTTGTTTGCAGACTTCAACAACATCTTTGAATGGTCTGGACAAGCTGAAGTGGAATGAAGAGGACAATCAAGAGACAGAGGCAGCGACTAAACATGAATCAGAGCTTTGAGTTTTGAGATTGAACGGAGAAATTCACAGAGGGCAGAGTGTCACAGAAGCACATCAGCTAACTCTGAATCAAAATGTATCAATGCTAGGAGTCATAAAAGTCCAACATGTAGCTTCCCTGCAAACTCTTAAAACACTGATCAGACAGTACATTCTGAAAACAGGGGAGACATCCAGTGGTACTTGTTATGACCTTATACACACAAAAACTGCAGCGTATCCTAAATGCAATGCCTCTTCATAGTCCCATTTTCTTCTCAGCAAGCCATTTCTTCATCTGCTCACCTAAAATAGCCTTCCTGCACAATTCCTCCACCACTGTCCTAAGCCAGGCATGTCATCGCGTGTTTTGGAGTGATCAGTCTGACATCTGCCTAAGTCATACAATGGGTTTCTAAAATCCCCGTCTCAGCAAATACTGTTGTGCTGATGGTTTCATTCATTCACACAATTCCTCCTCCAAAACTGTTCTGCTATATGCACCTGAGTAATCGTAATGATCTAAAAGGGAATTGTGTAGTTTCATTATGTTTACAAATGAAATTTAGCTCCTTTTGTACTGGGATGTCCACCTAAAATAAATCTCCTTTGTGTTGGTCAGGGAGATAACACAGCTCACACAAACCTCCTGGTATGATAACACACAAGGAAGTCTCTTGTTAATTTAGAATACACTGCAAATATTTTGAACCATTTCAAGGCCTTGGCTAAGCAAACGACACAGCTGACAGTGACACAACAGATTAGACTGGGCAGAAGCCAAAATATTCAGCTCACTTCATCTCAAGGACAGAGTAGCGCTTCCATGGGGGGACAAATGTACTGACTTTTGATCTGGTTATTTCATGCTCTGGAGCTCAAAAGATTTCTGCACACTGCTAAAAGAAAAACTGTCTTCTTTATTGTGGACTACATGTAGGAGGAAAATCCTGTGCTAATTCACAGTATTTGTACTGCTAACCGTCAACCTGTCCAGCTGAGTCTCAAGCAGTGACGTGCTCAGAGCTGGCAGACTGAAACTGTGGTGACGTAGGTTCAGGCAGCCGAGAACACACTATAACCACAAGGAACAGATTAGATCACCATGGTTACTCAGAGTAGTAAGGTCAGTGTGTGATGCTGGATGTTACCATCTTAGCAAACTACTGAAAGGTTTCCATTAGCAATGAGTTGTTGCAAATCTAGTTGTTTTTCTGAATTGCCATCCAGTAGAGCACATAATAGCACAATGATTCCTTAATTGGTTATTTTCATCTGACTAGTACGTTCTTAATGAATTCTTAAGTCACACAGTGGGCAATCAAAAATTTTACTGAAGCATGTCATGGCACATTTGCTGAGGAGAGTCCTTTATAAGAACACATTCACAACAGACACATATTCAGGGGGGGGAAAAAAACACTATGGTGGCTAAAAATAGTTCCATTCAGCAGTCCAGCTGCTAAGAGAGCAAATCTTTACAATTATGGAATAAAATTTATCTTGAAAGGGAAAATTAACTCTTCAGTCTGCATAAAAATTAACAATCATCAGGATTGTTGTTGGTTTAATAAAACAACACTTTATTTTCTCACTGTACAGAGACACACTGATTGGTTTCATTATCTGCTGAAAACATGACAACTCAAACATACACATAAAACTGACTTTGCAGTGGTTATGGCATGCCAATAGTGTAAAGAGCGCTAACATCTCGGGTGTAATAAAACTTACACTACTGGATCTTGCTTCACAAATGACACTTTGCTTGCCACATCATCAAAAATATTTCTTTGAAAAACGCATGTAAGCCAATATTAAAAGGAATATCATTTTACAGCCTAGACCAAGAGCAGTAAATAAAGTTTAACCCTTTTGCTTTTTAATATTCCTGCAGAAATGGTTTTGCCTCCTCTGAGCATCCATAAACATAAATGTTCTCAGAAGGACTGAGACTGGTGACTATTAATGGCATGACAGGTGCATCAGCTGTCCCAGTAGTTCACAAAGACAAGTCTAATGAGAATCAAGGGCTGTTAAGCGTTCTCCAGCTAAATCTGAGATATTTTTATTTGACTTATAAGTTTGCAAAATTCAGACTTACCCCAATTCTATTTAAATTATGCATTTTTCCTGTGAAATGTATGTGTACTTGAAGGCCTCTGGTATACAATGTTTGGAGACATGTCTGCCACAACACCACCTCAGTCATGCCAGAACCCATGACTGAGCTGCTTTGAAAAATTCCCATTTTGGATAGTGATACGATGGACCTGACAGCCATGGCATAGATTACAGTGAAATTTTAAGTTAAAGAGCATTGTACTCCACACACTTTGATGGATCAGTCGTGAAGTGTTTCTGGCAGATAGTCATTAGCCTCTTCAGTCCCTGTAGTAAGAAAAATAAAAAACAAGGCAAAAAAATGCAGCTGTCATTGAAAAGTGTAAAATATGGTCACCTATATACCAATTGTAGTCCACTAGAATTCATTTTACAGACAGGGATAGGATGATGTAATTGTTAAGCCAATTCATCAAATGTTGCTAAATTGTTGTTGGCAGAGATGGAAACGTTCACAAACATGGGGAATAGACCTTCTTTAGACATATGAACATTTGCTAATCTGTATATGTCATGATTACAGTGTTTCACGAGATACACTGATGTGCACTATATGTATATGACCATCCACTAACCTCCACCCTGGCCTTGTCCATAAACCTGAGCAGTTTGTTTAAAACACATTAACACACGACAAACGCTAATTTATGCAGGTATGGTGATGAAGTAGAATTTCGTCCCGTACTGTGACTAGGGTTCACCATAGGAATTGTCCTCAATTAATCTCAGTCATACAATTTTGTTACAGTAAGAGCCAATATGAGAGCCAAATGGAACGCTTCCACGAAAAGCAAAAGAGGTTATAAAAATAGCGCATATTACTTAAGTAAGAACGTATTAATATTTGTCATGCAAAATTCACAGTAGCCTGAATATGGCATTTCCTAAATTTAAATTATGAGAAAACTGGAATTACTGCCTTGCAGTTGTATGCACCTGCCAGTCAGGCAAGTCTTAATTTACATCTATGTCTGTCTACACTTATATAATATATGTAGATGAGACTTTGAAGGAATTTAATAAAAGGTATTAAGTGTTTTTTGTCATTAACAGCGCATCAGTTCCTTGAGTTATGGCCAGAAACAAGTTTTGTGAGGTCACAATGACATTGACCTTTGACCACCAAAATCTGTTCACTTCAACTTTGAGTTCAAGTGAACATTTTTGAAAAATCTGTAGAAATTCCCTCAAGGCGTTCCTGAGATATCATGCTCATAATAATGATAATGTCTCTGGCCACGGCTGTCGCTGGCATGGAGGCGTAAAAATGATCTGATGCTTTGGCACTGAGCATGGGGCATTCAGCAATATTTTGTAATTCTATTACTTTTCCATGCACAGTGTAAACATGTAACTGTGAGACGTGTGTATATGATGTCCACTGATCATAATTATATGTCAGTGCCAGGATCTTGCAATGGCTGTTAGATTGTTCAGAGTCACTGTGCTGAAAACAAATCCCATCATTTGTAGTGAATAATTTCAGGTTCTTACCTGAATGTATTTTCTTTGCGTCTCATCGTTGAGAACGTGGGCCACATGTTTGGAGAAAATCTTTTCTCGCCCAGTACGGGCATGGATACCCACCATGGTCACACCGATAGGCCAAGGAGCATTTCCAATAGCCATCTGCAGATAGGCATCATTTGCCTATAAAAGGGATACAAATTTGTTAAAACATGTAGCAGTAGATTTGTAATAATAAAGGGACTGCATAGATCAAAAACACTGTTTTTGGATCTTGACAAACCTTGACATATTCTCTCTCCAACATGAATTTAATGATGTCTGTGATTGACTCTTTGATGTCAGCCGGTAAGCTCTGAAAGAGATAATAAAGCAATTTAAACTATTAGAAATGAAACATTCACACCACAAAAATCACATCTTACAGCTTGTTTTACTCTCCACAAATATTACCTTCTTCCTGAGCTTCCTGAAGAGGGGTTTGAGGTAAGACTCTGTCTGTGAGTGTGTTGCACTGGCCAGCTTGCCCTGGACACTGCGCTTCACGTGGTCCTCTCTGCTGTTCAGATCCTTGGCCCAAACACCAAGAAGAAACTAGAATACAACAGGAAACATAGCTATTAAGAGAATATTACCAAGCATTTAAACAGTGACAGATACTACACAGATTATCATTATTTGGTCTTGATTTGTTGCATTAAAATGTATTTTATTTAACAAGAACAGATATCAACAGAAGAGAACAACAACATGAAAAGCAGCCACAGTAGTGATGTAAACATTTCTTATCCAACAGCTCCCTCTAGATTAAAGATTGAGCATGATTTTCTTGTCTTACCCTCAAAAACTTGTCAATAACATCCTGGTCTCCATCATCATCTCCTGTGCCCAGGGTTTTACCAAGAGCCTAGGGGGAAGTTTCAATATTAGAGACAAAAATCAAACAAATTGTTCATAGCTTGACATGACTGAAACAGAACTATTGAACAGTTGGGGACTCAATTCTCTTTCCTGACACAGTGCACAGTGCAATGTACCTCCAGTTCTTCTATAGTGGTGTTTTCTTCATGTACTTTCAGGTCATGCTGCGTGTCCAATTCTCCTGGCTCTGTTCCTCCAACAATTTCATTCAGGTACTGCTGGTCGATCTTGTCCATGGCAGCTTTCAGATCGTTCCTTAAGCCCTAGATACAGAGGTAGCAGCAAATATTAGGAACAAAAATGTAATGTCAATCAGCATGCTGTGCCCAAAATTTAGGACAATAAAACCATTTTTAAAAAATCACATGACAGAATAGCAGCCCTATCAATTCCACCTCTTCTCACTCAAGACCATGTGAATAACTGTGGGGATAAAATAAAACTCAGCTTCACTACTTAACAGAACTTGTCAACAGTTTTGTTGAACCAAATAATACAGATCTGCTTTTGATGGTGACAGCTTAAAGAAAGGTAATGCTGAAAGTACATGTGTCAAAGGCCTCTTTGAAGGAAGGTGAGAATGGTAGAGATATGCAATTTTCCAAAGTAGAGACTTCAGTGTGAATTTCTGTCTGGATCTGGATACTGGTTTCCACTCACAGACGGTCTCAGTCCTACCTTGTTTACTTCTGGCGTCAGAATCTCAATCTTCCTGAGTCTCTGGAAGGCATCATAGTCAGACTCTCCAAACAATCGGATTGGTTCCCCTCGTTCTCTAAGCCGTCGAATTACCTACATAAACACAGCAAAAGACACATACGTAATATGGAAATAGAAAAAAATGGATTATGTGTTTATTATAAGTGTTATTATGACATATTCACTCACCTCCTGTCGAGACAGTGTCATTGGCAGTTTCTCTTCTGTTAGTTCCAGTTCTAACACTGGATTAGCTGAGGTGGATGGCTCATCTTCCTCCTTCTTATCAATCTTCAGGGCAACAAGGAAGAAAGTGAGATAGACTAAGTTATTGGAAGGATGTGGGGGTAATATGAAGGTGCAGAATTTGATAATATTAAAAGATCAAAAGTGTTTTTGGCTAAATGCAAATGAAACTAATACAAATGGGATATGTATGAAAAGCATTTGTAATGTCCTTATTAGATGATACCTCAGGATTGAAGAGAAGGTGTATCATTATGATGTATTGTACATTGATTTACATTCCCATCTTACTTAAGTTATTCAGTGACTTGTAGTAGAAGTCAGTAAATAACTTTGCAGTAAAAGCAAACATATTGAATATTACATTAATCTCAAAACTTTCATTTAGTTCTGGCTGCACCACCTAAAACCTAAACACAGGCAAAAATTATTCTTTTTTTTTTTCAACAAAGAAACTCAAAATATGCTACCAGATCATGCTTTCATAGGCACATGCATCCTGGCACTCTTAGATTGTGGTTTAAACAGCACAATCTAAAAGATCAAACAGAGACAGACGATAAAAACAAACAATGGCCCTGGCTCAAATAGACAATGTATACTGCATGTGTGCAAAGAGCAGAGCTGAATAAATTTGACATTTTAAGTCTTGCACAAAGTAGAAAGGGAAATAAAGTTTTCCATATAGCAGCTGTTACAAGGCAATGCAAACTAGTGACACAAAACCAGGGAAAACTCATAGTCAGTCTAAATATTAAAGCTGCTGTCACAGATTATGTGCAAAATAAGAGGTGCAGCTTGACAAAAGAATTTTTTTTTTTTTTTTTTTTTAAATTTCAGTCCAGTTTCCATGCTGAAATCCACACTGGTGCTGTGTCCCACTTTTACTTTGTGGCTTCCTTTCCTTGTTCCCTTACTCTCTGAAAAGTGACTGTTGCTGAGTTTACAAATACGTTGTAACACATGACCAGTCAGCAAATAGACTAGTTGTCATATTGGTTGTTGCACATATAAAACAAACAGAAAAAGCATAAATATCAACAATGGTGGAGTATTGGATGCATGAGGTGGTTCAGTAAATTCATATAATGTAATTTGATGAATGAAATTCATTTTCAATATTACCTACTGCAGACCAATTCTATCAAGCACAGTAAGCAGAGACCGAGTGAAAATTTCCATTTCTGTATATATTTGATATCCTGATATCAAATTAGTATATGTTTACAGACTGACTAAGTTGTCTGACTGAGATGAGTGTATGTCAGCATCTCAGCAGCGTTCACAAAACATCCAGGGGGTTATTTCTAACAACCTGCACTCACAAATAAAGTTGTCTCCACCATGTTATTTCTGCTTTTATCCTCACTGGCTTTAGTGAGTGAACTTTCAAAAAGGATGCCAAGGAAGTGGAAGCTTTTGGGACACATTGTGTTTTATCCTTTTATCATGCATCCTGTCAGCTACTTTCACTCTGCAATCCCATACCTGGCTCTCAGGAGTCTCTCTCTGAACCTACAGATGCAGGCAGCAGAGGCAGGTTGGGGAAAAACAGCACAGTAAACACAGACACATACACTAATGAACACCTGAGCATTAATGCCTGACCTTATTTTGTTTCCTGGCAAAAAGTTTTATTACAGTATTACGTTGTCATACTAAATATGAAGTAAAACTGAATTGAAGATAGGCAGTGAAGTGATTTAGATGTGTCTTTGTGAGATAACGGGAGACTTGGCATCAACCTTATATCCACATCTTCTGAAGTAATCTTCTTGTTCCTTCCGTGCAAGATCAGCCCTTTTGAAGAATTTTTTCGAGTCCTGGGAAAAAGAAAGATAATTAGCTAGATTTACTCTTCAAATCAATCTCAATGTACAGTTCAATGAAAAGATCACACAAGTGGTTAAGCCTGGAGCAGCATGACAGCAATTGTTTCCTTCCTTCTAGAATGACATTGTAAATACAGCTTTAATACAAATGGCTAGTAATTGACTGTTATTTTTTCTCTGTGCTGAACTAAATGCGACAACAAAACACACTCTTTTCGGCAAAGCAATATCTCAAAATTCACAGTTTTAAGTTCAACTTTCATTGAACGTGGTCATGATTTGGAGGTGTCATGAACTGAAGTGAGAGCTATTAAGGAAGTCTACAAGGTACCATGATATGTAGTTACATTTAAGAGTCAAATGTAATGAAAAAGGTGATCAAAAGAGTGACATGGTAAATTTAAAACACGAGTAAAACTGACGTTTTCTATAACATTGTATCATTACCGAAGAACATTGAAACACTGCAGGGATCACCTTTCTATCACACTGATTATGTTATCAATAACATTAATTTACTGAATGGACATTTGTATGGCATATATTTTTTGTAGTTTTAATCCCAGTGCTCCTGAAACGGAGGACAGACACAGCTAACCATTAAAGGTTATCACACAACAATGATGATAATGCGTTGAAGTTAATGCTAAATTACGTATTTATTTGCCAATTAACTATTTGCTTAAACAATACGTGAGCTACACGTCTATCTTTAACACACTAACGTTAACTACATCTTGTAATATCTGTGAGTTTCAGCGCTGTACCCACACATTTGTTAAAGCGTGTTGATAAAAACATCGATGATTTTGGAAAGACAACGTTGTCTGAACTAAGTTAGTGCTAGTCAATATTAGCAATCGGGCTACCAAGCTAACAAAAACAAGCAACTTAATCAGCAACTCACGTCAACAAGCTGTTTCTCCTCGATGAGTTTCCTCTTCCTTGCGATTTCTGCTTTAAGTATATCCATTTCACGACTGTAATTTTTGTCGTTATTCGTTTATTTCAACAATTACTCACTTATGCACACGGTTGCAACGATGCTACTACCTAAACGCTATAACCGGAAGTTACCCAATCAATGGATTTCAGTATAAGAGTCCTCAGTGATTTCTTTTGTTTTATGGATTGTGTTTCAAAGTAAAAGAAATATAATGTTTGTAATGTGTAATGTAAATAAATGGTAACTTGCTGACTCTAAACGTTGACCTATTATTTCAAGTCTAAGCACTCATCTTTGGGGATAATCAAAAAACAATTCTTCTTTGGGTGGTATAAGTATTGCAATGGAAATTAACAATGAACCTGTGATGGCTAGGGTACTGAACAGCAAAATGGGCAATCTTAAACTCCCACTAATTTTATGTTTGGCTAAGTGGATAATTGTCAGACTAGTGCGGACTAGAGAGACCAATACATGATGAACTGATGAAGCCGCTTGGATAAGAGGCGAAACGTCTTCCACAGACAAATACAAGTCCAGTTGCCTTCGATTCAATTTGAGAGAGAGTTTTTCCAAAGTTACACATTTCTGTGTCTTTGATTTCAATAATCTTGCTTCTCACTTTCCTGACAAGACTGCTCAAAACAGCAGTTCCATGTTTTTACCACAGATGTAAATAGGTCTACAGATTTAAAATGTTAACCATTCCCTGTATTTTATTACAGAGACTGAATATTAATTAGGGATGCAGCCTTTTTTTTTTTTTTTTTTTTTTTTTTACCAAACATGCATTGTTATTCTCTGCTGATGGGGGCTCACTGAATTGATCAGGTGCCTTTTATATTTTTTCACACCCTCCCATCAGATGACCTGAGTGTGCCACTGCTCAGCATTTTTGTGCATGTATGTGTGTTCTGTCTTTTCTGTATTTTTCATGTTGCTAAGTTTTGCTTCAGATCAATGTTCCACTTCTTTTCATGCCACAGCATTTATCTAACAACCCACTTCTCGTGTTTCACTTACTGACTATGTAACTGTTTTATAGTCTTATTACTATAGTCCACTGAACAACTTCCCTTCTTCATGTCGCAGCCCCATCTGCAAGCTGGCAGGTTTTAGCTTTTAACAGGTGATCATGGAGAATATGTGATGGGAATTCTCTTATTCCAAGAACAGGGTTTAAATGTGAACTTTTTGAAATCATTTTGAGTGGAAAATGAATGAATTGATGGGAGAGAAAACATGACACCAACTTAAAGCCAGCCCTTATTGTGACTCAGTACTATCTCCTATTTTCTGCCAGTGACACTTAAGTGACTTTTTACAGTTGCCTGGATCGAGGTCATATAGATATAGGCTACACGTTAGATAGATCTGGATATTCACTACATGCTTCGAGGAAGTGGATTTATCCTGTCTGAATCCTGCCTGCCTATTTTGTTCTTACAAATGTAACATGAACACAGCTGGACAAGCAGTCATCTGCCTCTCCCTTTTGATAAATGTGTAAATTTGGTCATTTAATTATTTTTAATCTATAAAATGAGTCGCTTTTAACAACACTAACAGTATTCATGTGATAATTTCAGAATCTAGAAAAAAAAGTTTATGTTCTCAGTCTGCTCTCAATAGTGCTTATGTTCAGATGCCAGTCCATTGTCTGGACACTACAGTGGCAAATGTCTGACTCGACCTTTTAGATGAGAACGTTACCATCAGGTGGCGCAAAGGGATATGTGACGATTTTTAATATTAAAGTCATTAATTTATTTACATGGCGCAATGGAAGAACCAGCATCATGTTGGGAACGGGAACAGATGATACAATAGCATTTATCAGGTCAATTTAACCATAACTCGGTGGAAATCTGCCGCTGACAGGATCTGTAGCGCAGCCTGAGGAGAAATTTAACTGATTAATAAGGCAGACGGACACTGATTCTGCTGAGTGTATCCTTGTCACTGATTTCGTCTTTCTGAAGAGCGATTTCCGACCACACGGCTCAGTGAATAATCCTCCTGAAGATGGAGTTTGGGGAAAGGAAGAGGAGAAGGAAGTCACAGAGCTTTAAACTGGTCACGGATGAAGGTAGGCTGCTGAATGAATGCAAGACCTTGCAAGACGCGCGTCCGTGTCTGGGTGTTTGTCTGGCGCTGTGTGCCAGCAGAGACGACTCTGTAAACAAAAGCGATGGCCACGACAATGCCCATAGTCTGTGCCTCGATTTCAACCAACAGCTAACTCTAACGATTCAAGTCTTACACGTAAAAATCCTCCCTGGACATCTGTCTCCACATAGCTCATTCTGATTAGATTTTAAAGAATGAATTAAGTCAGTAAACAGTTCTAATTAGGAAAATTTGTTGCGCATTCTGAACATGCAACATTGTCCACTTTTAGCTGATGCTGTAAGCTCCAGGCCACCTCTCTTCACTACACTACTTCTTCATACCACCTACAGGTGGTGGTTTCTGCATGGGATGGGAGGGGGGTTGGGGGCTTTCTGCCTCGGTTGACATCACAGTCCCCATCAGATGAAGCACATGAAGCTTCATCATAAAAATGCAACAGGCCGAAACACCATTCTTGCAATCATCTATCAAATACATTTTATTATGAGATCAAGTTTTTATTTGATTATTGCCATATGAATATTTCTTGTAACCTTGCTGTTCTACCTTCAGATTATGAACCGTCATATATGGTGAATTCCAGCTGTAAAGATGCCAATGGAGAGCCTAAGGATGCTGCTGTGCCTGATGGTATGTGCGACTGTAAGGATTAATTTCTGATATAACATAGCAGAGCTCACTAATTCCACTAACACTCCTCTCTCTCAAAGTAGTTTGGCTGGGGGATGAGGGCATGGAGATCAAGAGACAAATCACAGGCATGATGAGGCTTCTGAGTGATAAGACCAGCAGGGTATATCAGCGTGTGGGAACAGAGCAAGACACCTTAACAAAGGAGCCCCAGGAGAGGCACCTGGCATGGGTACATCAGCCTGTACCTTTGTCTCTTGTATCAGAGGACCACCAGAGCAACAGCTGGAACTCTGCAGGGGACCCAGGGCCTTCTCCTTCATCCGTATCCACCCCCATCCCCAACGGTCCAGGCTGTGGCCAGTACAGCACCCGCTCCAAAGCCCTGAGGATCCTCAACAGCACAAAGCATTTAATCAAAGTGAATGAAGCTAACGGTACAGTAACCGAGTATGTGTGAAGAGGACATGAAAAAATATTCTCATAAAATAGAGAAGACATCAGGTCTGGCGCTGAACAGCAGACAAGCGTTTTGTTGTTGAGGTATTTGTGTAAGGCAGGCACTTAGAGGTGTTTTTGGCAAGTTTATACACACAACACATATATGCAGACCTACATTATACAGTGCATCCTTTTTTGTCAGAGATATTGCATGAAAGCACATTGTGCCCGTACAGATATACGTAGTTGAGAAAACCATCACTAACCAATGCACCACTGACTTTCCAGCAGATGTAGTACCCCCTGCTGTGCCAGAAGCCCCCTGCTGTATGTGTAACTGTAAGGGCACCTTGCAGGCTATTTTGCAGGAGCTACGTGCCATGAGGAGAATGATGCAGACTCAAAAAGGTCAGTGGACGAACACACATACTCACACGCTGTGGGAGAGACAGAAAGAGAGAGAGTGAAAATATAATATGCTAACGTCTTTTTTCTAGCATCCTTGGAAAGGCAGGAGCAGACAGCCTCACCATGCCAAACTCGCCTCGGTCCAGGACCTGCTCCTCGTCGCAGGCCCCGCAAAAGGAGGCCAATCTATAAAGTGGCACCACTGACTGTGTCTAGCACTAGAAGGGCTGCTCTTACCCCTCTGGAGGCATCACCACCTATAGTGGCACTTGCGGAATCTGGAAAGAGGGAGGTACCTGAAAAAGAGAAAGACTCATCTACAGCCAAAAATCACCCCGTCTCCTCTGAGGTCTCTGTGCTGCCACCTCAGAACAATCCAGTAACTGTCAACAACACGCACAGTCCTCTCCTGAACCAGATAAGGGAACCACAGTCATTGGAGGTAACCTACATAATAGTGTACATTGATGTACATATGCTCATGTGTGTTTTCTGTGCTTTATTTGTTGCTAATTTATGATTTCAGTATTACAATCGCTCCTTCAGAAACTCATACATTTGAACTTATTCTGTCTAATGAATTGGTTCTAATAAGGAATTTAAATGTATATATTTACTGTATTTACACTGTGAAGAAATCTGATATGTTTTTTCTATTATAACTCAGCCTAACATATATTTTAAAAATCATAGAGATTACAGATGGAAATAAGTGCAGTTAATGTTCTTCCAATTTCCTATTAAGATACAGAAATAAGAAAATAGTTTCTATTACAAAAAGTTCTCTCTTTAGCATGTTGGCCTCTATTTAAGCAATTTAAAATCTATTAACATCATTGTGTATATCAGGAGCCTTTGTCAGATGGCATGCTTTTATGACATGGACAGCAGAACACAATGTTCTCCATGGCTAAAAAGCATGCCATTCAATTTTGTAATAGTATGAGTTTTGCATCATAATCCTCATGCTTTATTTTGCAGCAACATTATGACTTATCTTGTACTCATGGTAATGATTTCTGTTGAACAGTTTGTGTTCTTTTTCCATCTAGAAATGGAATTAATCTTATGTGTTGATTTGCTACTTCCCCATGATATGTCACAATTCACACTGTGTGTTATTTGATTCCTTTTCAGTCTGAGGTGCGTCTCGCTGAGGATTATGACGTATTTATCTCAAGGGCTCAGTTAGACTCCATTCTCGTCAACTATACACGCTCTGGGAGCCTGCTGTTCCGGAAACTGGTGCGCAGCTACAATTTTTAAAAGCGTATTCTTTGGCGCTTTTAATATGGTTAACAGTCATTACAGTCATGTTGCATCACCTGATCATTTCTATCAATTCACTTAATAATAAGCAAAGTTCAATAAAGGCTGAGCAGTGTTTTACCATGGAGATACTATGTTTAGGTGTGTGCCTTCTTTGATGATGCTACCCTGGCCAACTCCTTACCAAATGGTAAAAGAAAGAGAGGACTCAATGATAACAGGAAGGGCTTGGATCAGAATATTGTGGGTGCTATTAAAGGTAGGTGAGAGAAAGATACTTCAGTCAGTATCTTTGTAGCTGGGTAGAACAATCATGACACAGTATTTTGGGGAAACATTAATATAGTTGTGTGAACTGTATCCAGTGTTTACAGAGAAATACTGCACTGAACACAGAATAGAGAAGTTGCCTGGGCCACGAGACTGGGTGCAGATCCTTCAAGATCAGATCAAACTTGCCAGGAGGAGGCTGAAAAGAGGTACTGTGCTGCTATAGAGTCTGCCTGTTACACTTTTCTTGCAGTAATTTAAACTGTATATTTATAGTCTATCTGGTATCCATTTATCTTGTTTTATTATGCAATGTGTTTTGTGAGCATGGTCAAAAAAAGTTACTGTATTATTATCATAAAGTAATAAGTTTACTAATTTAAGTCAGTTATAAAGTTTACCAGTCAAAGAATAGGTCTGTGAATGCATCAGGTAAATCTTCGTGTTCATTTGGCTCCTCAGATGCTGCAGAAGCAGAAGAAGCCTTAAATGGACCTTCTACAAGTAGGAACCACACACAGGGGCAGCTAACACACACACACACACACACACACACACACACACACACACACACACACACACACACACACACACTATTGTACCCATTTATTCAGTTGTCTACTTTTGTCTTCCTGTGTCTGCACCTTTCCCCTCACATCAGTGCTCCCATTTTACAACATCTTTCCATCAGCCCCCCTCTGAGCCCACAATGTCTTTACCTCTCTCCACCTCGCTGTCACAACACACACACACAAACTGGCTTGCTTATTGGCTCATATGTCTTTGTCACGCTGCCGCTGTGACATTTGACATTCTCACGCAGCTTCCCAAAATGTCAGCTAATTATCTTCACACCATGCACCATATCCTCTCTTTCACCTCTCCATTCCAACCTCGATGTCAGAAAAGCATTTCTCTTTCTGCTGTCTCTTTTTTTTTCTTTCAAGGAAGGCTATGAGACCTATGAGACAAAAGCCACCAAATGTGTAAACACAGTTGTCTTTACGTTCTCACAAAAAATGCATTGAGGCTTTTTTGGTGATGTTATTATTATTTTTTTATTACTTTTCTTCCTTACTTTATAGGCTGCGACTATAAGAAGCCTGCAAGTGTGGAAGGGACAGTGATGAACATGACTGGTTGATTGAAGGACCTGCCACCATGGCCTTAGAGCAGATTAGTTGATTGTCTTCATTACTTCTCTAACTTGATGCATTTAGCCACTTTAGATATTTCCTTTGCTGCTATGTGTTATGAATGTAAAGGGAACAAAACAGGACCAAATGAAGAAGAAGCCTGCTTAATGATATCCTCTCTCTTGCTCTCTCTCTCAAACTCTCACACACACTCTGCCTTTTGTAATCCTTAAGGCTTTTCATTTGACATATATGAAACCACTTGGATCTGGGATTTTGTGACAGCTGACAATGAACTATACAGTGGTTAAGCAATGTCAGGTCATTTTCATGTTCAGAAGTTTACATTATAGGCGACAGCTTTAAAAGCACAATTGCCTAGTTCAAATATGTCATTACTAGGAGGAGTCACAAGCCTAAAACGAGACAAAGTACTGTAACAGTATAGCATTCATATATTTTGCACAAATTACATGTTATGGGAAGTTTCCCATTGTGGATTGTGCCTTTTAAGTGACCAGTACTTCAATGGGTGTAATGTGCAGTGCCGCATCCGCCTCTTTTCCAAACATTAAAGTAAACATTTGATGTATTTTTGGCCAATTTTTCTAATTAAAAATGGGTTGATAGGCTGGCTGAAAAATAATGATAATAAAAAATACAGTAATCTATCAATAATGTTTCTTTTCATGATTAGAATCTCTAGGCTATGCATATCAGTGATATTGTTGTGAATATTGTGATGGAATTGATGGAAATACATAATTTTTCTTTCATTTCTGCTCACAGTGCATATAAAATGAATAGTTGTTTCCATCATTAAATATGGTTTCTTCACAACTGCGTTTTTGTGTTGTGTTTATATGCCTGACAGTTTAATTAACAACATAAGAAATGAGACAAATAGAAGTGACATATTGATAAATTTCTGCCTGAAGAGGCCCAAGAATTGATAAACAGTATCATCCTAATGTAACATAGCAGTGTAATTAAACACTAGTTGCCATAGTAACATAATTATTATCAAAAGATAAGCTCATAAATGAAAGTTTCCAAACCTCAGCGTTTTTAAAGTAGCTACACTTTGAGCCAGACAATGTTTTGGTGCTGTGGAAGCAATTGGAGGGAAAACAGTAAATTAAAGGTACACTCCATTGTAGAGATTTTGTTGCCAGACTTCACAGCTCGTTAAAGGGGATGTTAAAGCCGCCACTGTGCAGGCAGAGGACCCTTTGAGATCTCGTGAGTTTCCTCTTTGTGTTGCAACACAAATATTTTTCTATGAAGATGATGCGGGGCCGTATACATATATTGATCAAAATATAGTTAATTATAAGTGATAGCTTGATTTTTTTGTAGTTTAGTCCTGGATCAGAAGACAAATATGCCTCCCTTTTTGTCAGGCGTTCTCAGAAGACGCCCGATTCGAGCCGCAGTGCATTGTGGTGCAGTCCCCGCTCTTCTGTCGGGATCCACCGCTAACGTGAAGCTGGTAAGGATAAACTGGTCAGAGCAATTAAAGGGGAAATGTTGCAAGAATATAACTCCGCTTTGGCCCTAAAATCGCATATAGGGCAGTTGTAAACACTTCTATTGCACCATATCATTACAAACTTTGCACAAGTCGCATGTTTAGCATTGTTTTATTGATACTAAGTCTGATGTTGCACACATCGCATGGCGAGGGACAGGAAAGGGTTAATTTTTTCCGCCGCCGACATTTTTGTTCGGCGGTCTACGGCAACTTTTTAACTTACATGTGCAACGAGCTGGCGCTATGTTTCACAACTGTGTGTCACATTTGTAGTGCAGCGTGCACGGTGTGTGTTTTTAAATGAATTACAGCTCGCCGGCCCGGACGCTCTCTGCTCTTTGTTGCTCAGAGCTGCTTATGCTCATCACCTCATGCATGGATCAGCGTTTGCTAGCAAGAGCTAGCACCGAAACGAGAACTGCATTTTAAGCAAAACAAACAAACGTGAAAGATGCCGCTGTCACTGTCAGCATATACATCTCAAAGCTGAGAGCCCAGTGGTTTATAATGTAGGGTCCAATACACTGAATGGACAAGTTTACCCCTGGGCAGCGCTAATATTGTCAGCCAGTGCCTCAGGGTTGAATGAACTTGGCAACATTTTGTCTCTTGAACACTCCCACTGTTTACTAACCGAAGCCCCCTCAGTGACTCACAGCATTTTAAACCACAAACCGGGTTAAAAGTAAACAATAACTTCATTGGCTTGTCTTTCAGGTGGCCAAGTGTTTCCCACAGGCATGTCATTGTGGATCATTCGTTTGTTATTTCTGTTGAAACTACAAATATGAGAGTCGATCAGCTCGCTCCAGCTCATTGTGAAGTTTTATGTTGTCAGTGGTGAGTGTGTGTGTGTGTGTGTGTGCCACAGTTTGTAGAAAGATCTTAGATGTGGTGCTTTGTTACTTGTAAGAATTTACTAGTGTAAACCTTACACTCCAGTAACCCCTACCAGCTTTTTCTGTCTTACTAAACAGACAGAATTCAATAAACCCTGTGCCTGATAATTAAAATACATAAGTTCCATTCTTAAATTAGTTAATATCAATGTTTTTTTGTTTTTTTATCAGGAACAAACATATGTAGAGTAAGCTAATGGAGTCCAGTACAGTAGACCTGCAGAAATACTAACTTAGAATTGATCATCATTTGCCAGAGAGATGGTGATTTAATTCGGTTCACGTTTGTAGCTGTAAGTTCTGGTGTTGTGTTGCTCTCAGAAGGTGTACGTAACGTTTTGTATACAAAATATTATTACTTACTATTATTCAGTGTCGATTCAGCTCTGTAGTTATTTCTGTCACTTGGAAAAAAGATGACAACAATTAGTCAATGGATAGGTGGACTGACAGAAAATGTATCTGCAACTATTTTGTTGAATGACTAATTGTTTGAATAATTTCCTCTTTCTAGTGTCTCAGTTGTGAGGATTTGCTGCTGCTTTTCGCCGTTTTATATAATTGTAAACTGAATATCTTTAGATTGTGGACTATTGGACAGACATTACAAGAAACATTGCAAGGTATTACCAAGGGCTTTTATGAAATTGATTTTAACTGGCATTTTTCATTGTGTTCTGACATTTTAGAGTAAGGAATTAATTGCTTAAATTGGTAAATAAATTGATAATAAAAATAAATATAGTTGCAGCCCCAAAAATGACAGCAGAGTTAAATCAGTAGCTGTCTGATGCAGTCTTAAAATATTAATATTATAAGCTGCACAAACACAGGATTCATTGCAGTGCTGCTGCTTCATACTGTACAGATGTTCAAACTTATTTGTTCTTTGATTCATGATTTATTTGAAATGATGCACAAAAGAGCACATTTGTGCAGGTGCACAGGTGACATTGCAATGTGGTGAATGAACGGATTTAAAAAAAAAAATGCTATTATTTAAAGTCTCTGAAAGTAACACAATCTTCCTCCAGTCCTCTGTGACACCCAGTGTGTGTTTCTAATCGCCTGTTTCATTATTTCTGTCCCGGTCATTAATGTGGTCCTAGTGGTGAGGGCCCAGAGTTTCTTCAGACATGTCCGTGAGGGAGTCCTTTAACCCCGAAAGCTATGAGCTGGACAAGAACTTCAGGCTCACACGCTTTGCTGAGCTCAAGGGCACAGGCTGCAAGGTTGGCTCTCTTATCAAAATCTACTGTGGATGCATTATTGTCTTTGTACAAATCAATTAAGCATTCTGCCTGATAAAGAATGTGGCATAAAAAATAATGTGTTAAAATAATGGTTATTTTCTCTGGTCACAGGTGCCGCAAGATGTGTTACAGAAGCTGCTAGAAACCCTACAGGAGAACCACTATCAAGAAGATGAACAGTTCCTGGGGGCAGTTATGCCTCGATTAGGTAATTATGCTCTTCATATAGCACTATTATAACAAATACACTAAGTGCTTAATAGTAATGATGCTTAATTAGTCAATAGGAAAAACTCAAAAATGTATGGTATAAAAAAATCATTGAAGATGAGTGAAATATGGTATGTTAAAGAAATGTCTTTATGTGACACTCCCCAGACAAGAACTCTCATTTGTGGTTCAAAATCAATTTCATGGCAGCACTGAAAACATAGTTGCTTCATTTAGGACTCTGAAAGCATGCATCCTCACCCACAGTAAGATCCTGCTGTATTATACACAAGCTCCAGATAACCTCACAATGTTGACTCCAATTTAGGCAGGGGTCTTGCATGAACAGTAGAAAGAAGTACAGCAGGATACAAGACATTTTGTTGCTTTAAATGTATTACATAAAACCTGACCCCTCAGTTTGCACAGGTCACCAGTTTAGACACACTAAAATATCATGGGATGGCATCATTTCATTCTACATTAAAGCCAAGCAGTCACATTCTGCACAACCTGAAGCCATCTGACTGTATTGTTTTTGTTAAGGGGATGGGGACACAGTACTATATCACACATACATCAAAAAACTATCTTTACAAAATATCACAAAGACAGCTTTTTTATTTTTGAAGGCATAGGTATGGACACCTGTGTGATACCTCTCAGACATGGAGGCCTTTCTCTGGTCCAGACTACAGATTACATCTATCCTATTGTGGATGACCCCTACATGATGGTATGGATCTCCTCTTTTAAGGGCTTTACATGCGACACATGGATGGATGTCACTGTTTTTATTCTTTGTAGATATAGGCCTAGTTTACACACCCAACCCTTCATGTGCTTAATTTTTTGTATTTATTTTTTAGGGGAGAATTGCTTGTGCCAATGTTCTAAGTGACCTGTACGCCATGGGAGTGACAGAGTGTGACAACATGTTGATGCTCCTGGGAGTCAGCAACAAAATGTCAGAGAAGGTAAGAGGCATGTTAGTTGATGCATTCACTTTTGTGTGTCTGGCAAAATATCTGCAAGAACCAACTGTGTTAATTATCAGTGTAGTCATAGTTATATTCCACTGTACTCTCTGCTTCTGCTCTGACTTCACTGGGTTTTTACAGGAGAGAGACAAAGTCATGCCACTGATCATCCAGGGATTCAAGGATGCTTCAGAGGAGGCAGGCACATCTGTAACAGGAGGACAGACGGTGCTCAACCCCTGGGTGGTGATGGGAGGAGTTGCTACAACAGTCTGCCAGCCTAACGAATTTATCATGTAGGAATGAGTCTCTGTTACACATTTCCTTACTTCTGCTGTTTGAGCTACTCACTGCTGCTTAAGAATAATGTTTAATTTTGTTGAAATGAAACTTATCATGATAATGTCATGTTGGACATTTCTTAGGCCAGACAATGCAGTGCCAGGAGACGTGTTGGTGTTGACCAAGCCACTTGGAACGCAAGTGGCCGTTGCAGTACACCAGTGGCTAGATATTGTAAGTTTGCTGCTCAATCATGAATAATTATGTCTGGAGAGTTATTGTTTTTTAAGGATGACTACTAATTTTTTTCAATATCTCAGCCTGAGAAGTGGAACAAGATCAAGCTGGTGGTAACCCAGGAAGATGTAGAGCTGGCCTACCATGAAGCCATGATGAACATGGCTCGGCTCAACAGGACAGGTAATACCATTATGAATGTGTCCCCATAATTGATTCAGAGCCATAACTGCCTTGCACAGTGTTGTTGAACTTTTGGTTCTTGTCATTATTTTTCAATTAAATTACCATGCTAAGTTGAGCATAACTACGGCAGCTGTTTGCCAGAGAAGCATTGAGTTTTTGAACAGCAGCAACCTCTGCTGCAGCTCGGCTGTATTGCACCCTTTGCTGCTCAGTCTCTTCTCTGCTGATAATTTCAATTTTAACTTAAAACCATTAACTACTAATCTACTTTAAAATACAAAAAATTCATGGGAGATAGTAGTTGCATACTATAGTTTCATGCTCGCAATACACGATTGTCATCTCATATAAACTGGGACCTGGTCACACAGAAGCCAAAAAATATTTCTTCAAGGTTGGAAGTGTGGGTACACAATAGGTTTTAGTAATTGTTTTTGTTGCCCTTATTACATCAGGTTGTTATTGTTGCCTATTATTAATTTATAAATAACTTGAGGATTAATACTTGAATTGCAATATCTGTCATCATAATGGTTGTTTGTTTGCTTTCAAGATTGCATGTTTGGCCCACAGTGAGTTACAGTCTTTGTGAATGTTAACACACACGGAATAATCTGTATTTGTTCATATCACTGACTAATCTTCAGCCATGAAAACAGAGTAGTGCATATCCCTGATCAAGACAATTAATCCTCCAGACGCCCTTCTAAGTCTCTCTGTTTTCCCCTGTAGCGGCTGGTCTCATGCACACCTTCAATGCCCACGCAGCCACCGACATCACAGGTTTTGGCATCCTTGGCCATGCTCAGACATTGGCACGACAACAACGAAGTGAAGTGTCATTTGTCATCCACAACCTCCCAGTGCTGGCCAAGATGGCTGCAGTGTCCAAGGCCTGTGGGAACATGTTTGGTCTCATGCACGGCACCTGTCCTGAAACATCAGGTGTGTGTGGATTCATGGTTATTTCCTTCTTATTTAATGTACCTAACTTTTCTACCTCATGCCGTTTTTTTGAGTGAGCCTCAGAAAGTGTTTTATAATATTACAAAATATGCAACACAGGAAAACATTAATAAAATGCTGGTTCACTCTCTGGCAGTCATAACTACAAAGATTCAGTCACACTTGGTCTTTTTGCCAAGGAGGCTGTAAGCCCCTGGACAGAAAACCTCAGAGTCCTGCCTGTATAGTATGGATTGTGAAGATGAACAAAATCTGAAATTTGAGTCTGTATTTTATATGCACCACATGAGGTGAAGCCAGTTTACTTCAAATGTTGTTTCCAGTGATAATTTGTTATGGCATGTGAATACAATTTTGTAGCTAGGACAAGATAAAGTGAATAACTAAAACATGGTAACAACAGACTATAATTAAGAAATATTTGAAGCAAGGAAGCAAAAAAACAAAACAAAACTACAATATATGGAAAAATGCATGGAAAACCAGAAATGAGCTCTGAGGGACACCAATGGAAAGGGGAGCCCAAAAAGACAGAAATCCCTACAGAGACTGAATAACATCAGTCAGAAAGATAGGATGACAACCACTGCACTGCTCATCAAGCGCCATCCATTATCACCAAACACCTGAGCCTGTCAACAACATTATGTGTATCAGTATCAAAGGCAACATGTAGCTTTGACTGTAAGAGAACTGAGGACTCATCAGCAACACTACACATTAAAAAACATGATTTTAATTGACCTAATGTCCTTTCATTTGCAGGAGGCCTGCTTATCTGTCTGCCCCGGGAGCAGGCTGCCCGCTTCTGTGCCGAGATCAAATCTCCAAAATATGGAGAGGGCCACCAAGCGTGGATCATCGGGATCGTAGAGAAAGGAAACCGCACTGCTCGCATCATTGACAAACCTCGGATCATAGAGGTAGCACCACAAGCTGCCACGCAGAATGTCAACCCAACTCCTGGTGCAACCTCTTAATCCTCACTGGCTGAATCATAGACCGGAACCCAAAAGCTCTGTTGAGTGATTTTAGACACATAAACTACAAAACCATCCTAGAGTGTTGAAATATATACACAATATAGTACGTACACAGAAAAGACTGGGTTGGCGTGTATCTACATGAAAAACAGCACACACACCACACAGTGGCCCGGGGAGCATGTCACCACCCAGTGGACTCAACCTGCAGTATCCCCATGATAAAAATTGGTAAGAAATAGAGCATACTTAAAATCCATATGCCTTTTGTGTCTGTTGTATTCTGTTATGTTAAATGTGCTTGACTGGCAGGCAGCTTCTGGTGAGCGAGTGATGAAGACAATAATCTGATACTGTTGATTCATTTTGAATCTTAGGAAGTCTGGAGTCTGTTGCCTCTTTTAAAGTTGTTCTCATAAGCAACATCAAGGTGATGTGATGGTGTTTTTTGTTTGTCCATTCACTTTGTACAGTTATAAAGCCTAGTATTAGTTCATTGCTGTAACTGATGCCTTGAAAGAAACTGAGTGTGACCAGAATGGTTTGTTTTTTATTACTTTGACTTTTTGTAATGTCCCCACATAAACTAATAAATATTCAAATAGAAGACGGCTTGTTCTCGCTGTTTGGGAGCTGCAGTCATGTGAATGAACTAGGTCAAAATGACATTATCTATTTACATCATATAACTGCAGATTGATTGTTAACATAAACAGCTGATGCAAGTCATAAATGAATCACGGTTTAAAGTCATAGATGAGAAGAAATGACCATAGCCCTCAGGAGATGGACCCTCTACCATCTGCATTCCCAATAACAATCAGAATTGTGCAACTGTATAAAAGGGAAAAAAAGTTTGTCAGTCTGCAATTGCCCTAATCTGTGAGCTTGCTGCCTGTTGCCTTTGCTCAGGATCTGGTGCATTTAGTTTTGCTTTCTCAATGTTGCCGTAAATGTACTGAGAGAAATCTGACTTAGTGTCAAGAAGCTTCCAGCTGATCAAAGTCCAGATCATTTTTGTTTATCCTAATAGCAGGAATGAATCTGGAAGGCCTCTGTAAATGTTCTTATGGATATCAGGAACAAAACATAACCTCCACCCCACCTCTTATAATAAACTTCTCTTATAATAGATTGTTTTTCTGTCTTTTTTTGAAGCATTAAAAGTGATACTTTTATTGTTTGAATGTGTAATGAAAGTTACCAGTACGATGAATTCATTTCTAATGATTTGTATTTCTTCTGTTTATTAACGCTCACATGCTAGTAACAGTAATCGTATGTAATGTATGTGTAATGGTGTTTTATTTTAAATCAATAATGACAAACACCCTAAAATGAGCAGGCAAATTTATAAATGCTGGCATATAACAAATGATTTACATCTTAAAACATAGCACTGAAATCTTTAGGTAGATATATTTACAAGCGTCATATGAACAAACTATAGACCACACCTAAATATTATATTTAGATTCATTACATAACATTAATTTCATGTACAGTCTATGGCATAAACTGATAAACTGTTTCAAGGAGAAAAAAACAGTCATTGCAAAATCTAAATGTGCCAAAATCAAAGGGTACATCTTTCCCCCAGCACCAAACAGCTGTGAAAGGTACAATATAAATAGAAATAAATTAGAGGTTTAACAACTCTTCCTTTTGTCTGAGTGAGCGGAATGACAGCCTCCTATAATATGACCCACCAGAAAAGCAAAAAGATCACAAGTGCAACCTGTCACCAGAACTTTGTTTTGTTTATATGAATGAAGCCTGTCAAAGACTGACTCACAAGTTGCGTGTCAGCCAAACCCATCAGAGCAACCCACAATGTCTGTTATATGTGCTTTTTCCCATTTTCCAGCTGCACAAGCTTTCCATGCTCCACCATCTTTTTCCCATTTTCCAGCTGCACAAGCTTTCCATGCTCCACCATCTTCTTATCATTTTCAGGCTTGAAAAGTCCTTGGATATCAAGCATGGCCTTCCGAATGTGCTGACCAAACCGGCATGAGTCCTGCAGGTCACACAGAGTGGGAATAATGAGAGTGAGACAGAAAAGACTATTGAGTTTTGAAAGGTTACCTAAACAGTCTACAGATGGATCAATAATATGCAGTACTCTCATTTTGTGCTCTTACTGTGTCAGGGCTAGAGAACTTGCTTGAGATGTGGAATGTGATGAGGTTTTCCCCAACAATGATATAAGACACACCATAGCCATCATCAGCCACCTGTGGGTACACGAGAGATACCATCATTTTATTGCACTAAACCTTCCAGAGCGGGACAACTGGGCCAAACATTATGAGCATGGAACTTGTGCACATCTCTAAAATGAAATGATCTAACTCACTGGGCCAAATCCTCCACCAGCACCCACATATTTAGGGAACTTGTTGATGTCAACTAAATTGAGCTGCTGCTGTGGAGTCTGGCTGGTAGACAACTTCCAGGGCTCTGAAAGCACCTAGAAGCAAAGGCATTGAATGTTGTGAGGGAAATGGCAGATTAGAAAGAAGAAAGGTTATGATAGGTATAAAAAGAATCATTTGAATCAGAAATCAATAAAAATGATGCTGTAACCTTCTCAAGAAATGGCGAGTCAACGCCAAGGTATTTGGACACTATGTAGAGACAGAAGAGGTGACGGTCAATACCAGAACCAGTCATGGCCAGACGATACATGTTTTGATGTTTATCTGCTGCCCTCCGAAACAGGGCAAGTCTCTGGACATTCTGATCACAAAGACAACAAGAAAACACACAATTTAAAGTCTTGTTCTCACAAAAGAATAGTATCCAAGCCTGAACTTGTGACATTAACATCATATCAAAATGACCTTATTTTCTGTTGTGTCATGAGTGTGAGTTTAACCTAGAACATCAGAGAGTTCAAAGTCCAGTGCACTGACACACAGGGACATATTGTCAGTAGGTCTTGGTGACCAAGTCCACAGCAGCACAATGTGACCTCTTACAGCATGGCCTGCCACATATTTATCAGTAGGATCGATGCAGATGTCACTGATTGTGAATTTGTGAGCCTGATAACACACATACATATGACACCAGATATGCCCAAAGTCTGATTATTTTGCAAAAACTTGGAATTATTTAATCCAGTAAAAAGTTTTAATGTCTACAGCTCTGCTGGACTTGCTACTACAAATACAATTTGAGCAGCTAAGCAAAGCTGAAACCAACAGAACTTTATGTAATGTAGCTTTTATGTTGCATTATCCTGATTTATTTTTAGTGTTTCTGTGCATGTATGTGTTTCCTTACTGTTCCACTTGCGTCTTCCATGGCTCTGACAAATGCAACAGCCTCAGAGGTACAGGAGCGTACTGTCTCCGTCCGACCGTCTCTGAACATACGAGTCATTGATGACTCGTACGTCAGACAAAACACTCCCTGGTCCTATAAAGCAGATGGATTAATGCGATTTAATGATGGCAAATGATACAACTTAACATTTAAAAGACGATGGTGAGCAATAATGTCAGTAATGTGATTCCAGGCACACAGGGCTGATTGAAGTCCTACCCTGAACTGTGCCAACTGCAGGGCCAGTTGGATGAAGGCATCAGGGCTGGTCCTGCACTTCTTGATCAGACCTTTCCCAAACTCAGAAAAGAGATAACCATGGAAGTCCACATCATCAGCTATCTGCTTGGCCGATAGGTATGAGGTCCCAATGATCTCTTGACACTAAGAGTGGGCGAAATCATTTAATGATGGAAACATTGCTAACATAGCAAACAACATGCTAATAACAGGCTCTACTGCACCTCCTTTGGAATCTGCCACTGCAGTCGAGTGGGATGAGGCAGGCCTTTGTTCACATCCCCTTTACAGTGTCCCTCTTCTGTGTAGCCAAGATGGAAGCAGTCTGTTGCAAGGACATACTACACAGACAGAAAAGGACAGCTGAATATTATTGTAAACTTTGAATTATTGCTTTAACATATGATACCTGTGCACATTTCATACCTCCCACATATGTCCTACAACTGGTGCATCAGCCCAAGAATGTTCAGCATTTATCCCCATTTTTCCATTTGGATAAGAGATCAAGGTAAAAGACTTGTCAAACCACCTGTGGGACAAGAACATTTTTAGGGAATAAAGCACTAAAATTCGAGCCAGTGATGAGGATAAGAAATGAGGTCTCCCCTCCTCTGCCTACCTGTCGTAACATTTTCCATGGAGCAGGGATTTGGCGTAACTATCAAGTGAATTGGTCTTTGCAGGGTCATAACCCTGCGGCTCATCATCCAGTGTCAGGAAGAAGGCAGCTGATTCAATGGCATCCAGGGACACTTTGTTTACTCCCAGGCTGAAATACTTAATCCGAGCCCGAGCCCATGGAACTCTAGAGATGAGAGTGAGACAATTTGATCTATATTTATCTCAGTGAGTGAGTATGTGTCCTGTGCATGTGTTTGTGTTTGTATATACCTGTTTCCTGCAGTCAGGGCAGCTAATTTGAGTTCTCCCGGCTGGGGTTCCGATGTATCATTGAGGATCTTTTGAAACTGAGTCTCAAGTTCACTGGGTAAGAGGTGGCGCCCTCCGGTGTACAGCCACACTTGGAAGAACCGGCCCTTGTGGTAGACAATCAGGTGCTTACGGTCGGTCAGGTGCTGCACAATATCTGCAGGGATAGTTCAGCCAGAACGACAACAACAGAGTAAGTAATGTTTGCTGTAACAACAAAGAGTAAAGGTAGAATATTATCAGAAGTGCAATCAATTAGGAACCAGCTCACACCTTTTGCCTTCAGTGCAGTTGTTAGAGGGTAAATCAACATTGAAACACACACTGGGCAGAAAACTGCTCTATGTGGGTTGCAACTTAAGCCTGTTACACTTGTGGCCATCTCTCAGTTACGGATGTCAAAGCATGTGTTCAGCTTTTAAAAACTAGTGGAAAACATGTATGTGTGGCCAAAACTTCAGCTGAAAAGTTTGAATCCAGCACAGGAGGAACTGTCTGTCCTACTTGACAACACCAAGTGTTGATTCACCCCTTAAACTATGCAGACCTGAAAAGGTGCTCACCTGTTTCAATGCCAGGGATGCGAGTGGTGTTAAACATCCTCTCCATCTGAGTAGAACACATAGGAACAGTCCCCACAGCCCTCAGCTGAAAAGGAGAAAGAAATGAAATCATCCCTAAGTTTAAACCAATGGTAAAAGAAATCTAATAGATTTAAAGGCCAAAGTTGAATAGCTTTAGTTATTTTGCACAAGTTATTTTTGTATTTTTGTTTTTGTCTGCTTTCTTCTTGTTGGTTTAAAGTGGTAACAGCTGAGTTGGAAAAATGTGCTTTACATACTCCCAAGCACTAATAAGGATTTATGAATATTCAAAAAGAAATCTGATGAACGTTTGGGGTTGTATGGAGTATGGATTAACTTTAACTTTGATTGTTGCTTGTGTAGTCATGAATATGTAAAAGGCTCAGTGTTTATTCATAGACTAGATAGAAGGTACATGGAGAAAAACTTAATAATGTAGTAATGTCATTACATGGTGGTAATGCCATAGCAAGCATTACCGGTGCATGTTCACCACGTTCCAGTTTGCGTCTGTACTGCAGCATGGCATGGACCACATTCCCCGCTCGCGCAGCCTGTCGGTGTGTTGGGGTCATGTACAAGAGGTCCTTCACATAAATAAATGCACCAAATAGACAAACAAGACAAACTGAGTCAACAAAAATAAAGACGTAAAGCAGAGTACAAATATAAATCAAAACAAGACATTTATTGCAAAAATTCTTACTGGCCAGTAGAAAGGTCAAATTTTGAGAATTAAAGGAATTACATGTATATATTGCTTATAACTTTCCCACCTTATAATGTATAATTTCTATATTAGCCAACTAAAATTTAGAACAGAGCATTACTAATACACTCCACTTGTATAAGAAAACTGATCTGGTGACAGTCTTTCTTACCATTATGTAGAAGTTACTGTTCACCATGATAGGACTCCTCCCCCTGAGGTAGATGTACTCCTCCCACCAGTCACTTACCTAGGGCAGATATAGATTATAACATTATGATTCAGCTGAATTTGAATTCTAATGTTGTATCACTTCTTTAAAGACTACTCACATAATTTGTTGCCCACCAGGATTTTAGGATCAAGTATCTCTGCAGCTGGGTTGCCTTGGAATCTTTAAAGTCATTGGCCAAAATCTCCATTTGGTTATACTGCTCACCGTCCAGCAGAGGACGAACCGACTCTAGGTACTGTGGGAAAAACATGGTGTGTGATGTCAGGACAAGGGAACAGTGTTATGTAGAAACACAGCTGATATAATAGAGCAGCTGAGGAACACAAACAGAAAACCTGGAAAAAAAACCTTGCAGATGTGCAGTGCGGCTACGGGGTAATGACAGATTTTACTACTGTACAACTTTATTTAACTTTCACAAGATGCAGGAGGGCAGCAGGAACAGTAGATGGTGATATAGTTGAACCATTATCTGTATAGTTAAGCAAGCTACATTCATCAAATGTTTAGAAAAGGCTTCATTGTGTAGGTTTAGGTCATGTGTTAGATAGGTTGAAATTTAAGCTGTAAAAGTCATAAATGGAAGATATGTGATATTAGTTTTCAAATAATCAAATGGATAATATGAGAAAAGGGGCTGTTTACATAACAGGTTACACTATATTACACTTCAATATAGTTGACAGTTGGTATATGATTATAGTCAGTTTCTGGTCATATGGCTTGAAGCTGACATACATATTCAGACAGTCCTTGACTGACCTGTCCTCCACCCATACAGGTCAGGCATTTTCCCCAAATACCAACAGGGACCACTGGGCCAGTGCCCCCCGGGGACCTCCGACCTCTAGGGGGCCTCCAAACTCCCACCAACTGTGGCCTGTTTGTTAGTTTGTTTTTTGGTTTTGTTTTTTTAAATAAAATCAGATAAATGAATTGAGTGTGTGTATATTTAGATACAAACCAATGAATGCAGAGTTTATTTGCAAATAAGAAATGCTATAATCAGTTTGCTAGCTGTGTGTGTGTTTGTGCGCGTGTGTGTGTGTGTATCATGACGATGAAGAATGAGGTCAGAGGTCAGGTGGTGACTGAGGAAATTTAGCGGCAAAGTCGGGTGGTCACGAAAGACACTTCTTGAAACATCATGGAAAACGAATGGATTCACAGAAACACGTATTCGGACGAACATATTAGACTTTTTCGAAAGTCGGCTACTTAGCTTGCTAGCATTAACAAAGAGTCTGGAGAGGACGATATTAATGTTGTAGAGGAGGAGCGACAGCAGCCGCAACAGCCAGAGAGCCACAGCCCTGCGACGGACACCTGCCCACCTGCACCCCCCCCCCCCCCCCCCCCCCCCCGCCCCCCCCCCCCCCCCCCCCCATCTCCACCTGAGTAGCTTGACTGAGTTACCTGTTTAGCAGCCCAACAATTTATTACTTGCTTCCTGTTTTCGGACATTATGAGAATTAAAAATGAACTGAGAACAAGGAGGAGGCAACGTCGCTTGAGCTCTTCATCAATCCTTGCAACAGAGTCGAGGAGACGTGGATTTGATGCGGTGGAGGAGTTTTGGAGGAGAAAGGCCAGAAAGAATACCGTCACATCAGGTAGGCCTAGTTTCTCTCACATTATTATTCACACATTATGGATCTTATGTCCTATATGTATATATTTTTCTCTCCAAGGTGTTGTGTTTACAATGAGAAGTAGTTGACATTGGTAGGTTTTTAGAAACATGACTATTGTATCATTGCGTCTCTATATCAGGATGGTTTATATGATGGAAAGCCTGAATGGTACAGATTACATACATTATTTGTCATAAGTCTACCTAAGCAGAGCACTATGAATCGATCACTGTGTGTGTGTGTGTGTGTGTGTGTGTGAGTGATGGATTGATTGATAGAAGAATCTGAATCATGAAACTGTTGGTGGAAGTAGGGCAGTATGTGCTTGCTTACGCCGTTCAGCTACACACTGTACATTAATGCGTTGATATTGTTGCTGCTGGCCCAGGAAAGTATTGTTTTATTCATGTATCGTGAATCCTGTATGATGGAATATATCTACAGGTGTTGATATTGTCCTTCATCTTGTGATCATAGGCTGTAGCCTGTCAGTGTAACTCCTGTAAATGTTACCAATGGATAATAGCCTCCGCTGAAAACCTATAATTCAAAACCTTGGATTGCGAGTGTGGGGAGAGCAGGTTGGGGGTTTTGTAGTAGATTGTAGCAGATTTTGTGCTGATTTTCTCAATATGTTTAATCACAGCTGAAAATGTTTGAAGAATTTCAATGAATTAGCTTATTTAAGTGCACAAGTCTAGATTTCTTTGAAATATCCACCATGTAGGTAAAATGATGTCTTTTGTGTACGTCCATGCCATGTATTTCAAGAAACTTTTGGGCCACATTCACTTGTGTGTTTTGGTCATGAAAAATCAATACTGTGGAATTACACACCCTGTGAATTGTATCATCCACACTGGGCACAGGGAGCCTGGGTAAAGAGGCCTGGAAACTGTAGAGCAGCGGTCTGCGTCCAGAGAACATCTTCACCAGGCTCTGGTAACAAACAAAAAACACCATACATCAAACACAGACGGTAAAACAGATTATCCTTTATACCAGATTCTAACAAGAATCAACCACACCCTCTGCACTGAGGGAGGGACATGAAGATTACATCGATGATGTAATGGAAACCGGACAATTCAATGGAACTTGAAGTACAAATTGAAATGTTTGTGAAAGACAAAGGGACAAACATACCAGCCACACTTTGGTAGACGTGCTCATTTTTCCATGGGATTCAAAAATCCAGCCATGGTAGGAGAGCAGAGCTTTGAGAGTGTATCTCAAAAGGTAGATGAGGAACAGCCACAGACCAGTGGCAAAGAGGATGGCACTCAGCACCGCTCGGGTCTGCACTGACATATAGTCTCTGCTCAGAAAAGGCACAACACTGCCCTTGTCATGTTATCAAAACTCAAAGATGAAATCAAACAGAAAAGACTATAAATGTAGATTTGAAACAACTGATTCACTGCATAGCTCATCTAAACAAGCCTATGCTCCAGCAGAATACTTAAAAACTGAACCAAAACAGTGAATGATCATGCTGGACTGGGGGGGGGTTTCTGACCTTTGTGGTAGGTTATCCTTGATGGCGTCAATCATTCCTAGAGAGGGGTCTATGCGTATATACAAGGAACTCATCATGGCAATCACAACTATCAGCCAGCTGGACGGACTGGCTGGATAGACTCCAGCCAATACTCCATTCTGTGATTAAAAAAAACGGGATTCAGTATAAACACAGCATGAATCTTTGTGTCCTATGCTCTGCTCAGACAACGTGAAAGAAAATGCACAAACACACGCATTGTAAATACTAAACTATAATCATGAGTGACTCCACATTTTTTGAACAGTGATAGCCAGAGGTATATCTGGCTATACCTTGAATTGTATGGCCTTCTTCTTCCATGCTGTCACTCCTGATAGGTAGATGTTTTTGATGACCTCTTGACTCAGCTTAAGGTCCACACCATCAGGGCGCACGGTGAACTGGAAGCCCACCGCCTGATGCGCCTCAGCCATCGCTGGGTATTACTAACATGGAAAGCAAAGGGAAACTATCAGGTTTCTGACTGGAATATTTAAAAATATATAATATTTGAATAATAATATTTTAGAAAAGAATTAAAAAACCTTAGACTTAGCAGTAACACATTTTACAGTCTGAAATATTATTTAATCTGTTAACCTTCTATATAAGCTTGAATGTAAACACAAAAATCACATCAACTCTCCTAATTTTAATGTCATCTATACTTTAAATGTCATCAAGCAATGTATGTTGTTTTGTTTCAGCTCTAGATGCAGGTCCTTCCAAGATTTCAATGTCCACAAGCCATATCCCTTAATATCTAAAGATTAGATAACGCTTTTATTTCTTACAATCTCCCATGGAAATGCGCCCGCAGCAAAGACCCAAATTTCAATTTAATTCATCTCAACATTGTTAGAATCTTGAGATATTTAATTCACTGCTATGGTGGCATTAAATAAGAGTAACATCTATTTTTTTTGCTAATTAACCTCTAAAATAACCCAATAGACATTAAATTGATCAAGAGTAACAAGAACATAGGCAGACTTTGACAGATCTGACTCACAGTTGTTAAATTACTTAAGAGAAAGTTGCACTGTTTGTCTGTAGTGTTTGCTCATAATGTGACAAGAAAGGGCACTGATATGGGATTCATGGATGTCAGAATGAAATGTTGCAAAGCTGGAAGAGTTCAGTTATTGTATTATAAATGATTTGGCCTTGTTAAATTCTAAACACAAATATTTGGAGTTCACAAGCCACTCCATGTAATGGCCAGGGTGACAGGTCTAGGATTTCTTTTTCCATGTCATATGACTGAACAGTCACCAAGTGGGACAAAGTTCAATGGCCATATATAGCGGCGCACCGGCTGAGCATGTGCACAAACCTGAGATGGGCATGAAAATATAAACACAGAGTACAACCCACAGATGAATGCTAAACCCTTTGGTATTAGAGAATACTGCGAGAATCTATCGGACATGTTAAAGGTCAACATGATTTCTACTGTACAACTTTTTAGAAAACCTTTAAAAAGCTAAAATTAATGTTTGAGCTCTGTGTGATTGTACTTCCCCATCATGATTTCCACCTAACATTTGACATAAATGACAGATGAAGTACAAGACATGAAAAGATGTCGATCATTTAGCATTTTCACCATTACCTTTTCGGACATGCAGCATGTGATTAAGTTTACTCTACAACTGTCAGTCACGAAAACCTCTGTAGCTAATACAACAACATGCAGATATGAATAAGAACAACAAACAAGAAGCAGGCCCATATTTTACCGTTGTCCGAGCAGTGTCAGTGTAATCCACTCAAGCTGTGACTGGTTTCTGCCACTGAGGCAGTGAAATTCCTTTGCACTCAGGCTTGAGTGCTCTCTGTCTGACTCCAGTGCCCTTGAAATGGCTTTCCTCAGGTAGTGAGATCAGAGCTCCCGTCTGCACTTACCCAACACCACTCACCCCCCCCCCCAACCCCACCCCCTTCTCCCTCTCTCTCTTTCTCATCTGTGACATGCTTCTTTTTGTAACCAGACACCAAACATAGACAGAGCCTAACCTCATGTGCCACGAGGTCTCTGCTGTGTAACTGAATATGTTGCAGTGCTGTGTTAGGATGTAACTGAGAGCAATGTGACATTTCCTTTTCACCTACAGAAAGTACAAGCACTTCTCCAAAATGATAATGAAGATGTAATTATGAGAGGGTAAAATCATCAGCAGATTCAAGCATCATGACTTTCATTTGATTAGAAGGTTAGAAAATGGAACATGATTAAGTATAGAGAAACAAAAACAAAATATATTGTCTAAATTGTGTGTGACCTTGTGTGGCCAGTTGTGTGAGTTTAGTTCATAGCATCACAACTTTCAAATCCACCAATAATGTAACAAAGAAAGGAAGAAATGTCTTTAGTGTAAACAAACAAAAAAGTAAACAACCCCCCCCCCCCCCCCCCCCCCCCCCCCCCCCCGTTGTAACACCCACACTGGGTGTTACAATTCACTGGGTGTTACAATTCAGGAAAACCTCTGTAGATTTTTATTCATGAAATTTCATTTTCATTTCATTGAGATTTTGAATCTCATAAACAGGCGACAACAGCAAAAACTACACATACAGAATATAATGGCACACAAACAGATCCAATATGCAACAAAGTCCCAACAGAAGAATAGTTAAAAGCAATTATAATTTACAATTAAAGTCAAGTTCTGAAGTTCTCTATAGTGCTCAAATTTTTTTTCTCCCAGATTTACTACAGTGCCTTAGTCTTTGGTTTTTAAACACAAGTGACAACCATAATCCCCACTGTTAACCAGTAGATGGAGTCAACAAGAGATGGAAACTTAAGTGCTATTACATTCATTTATTAACAAAAAATGTACAGTATAGCAATGAAGCCCTCTATAACATTAGAAATTAAGATAAAAGACAGCTTCATAGCGCATGGAGACTGGTAGAGGAGGTAAAGCTGTGAGAGAGAGAGTTTTGAGATCTATCCTTGCAACAGCATTGTGCTCGATACTTGGCATCAGGACCTTGTCACCTGCAACTGTACCCTGTCCTGCAAATGCCACTTTCTCAGCCCTGTGCACCTGGATGAAAAAAGCATAAAGGAAATTTTGACTTTATTTAAAAATACTAGACAAGATGTGTTCATGTTCAGATGCACATAACTCAGGAATCTCTGACTGTGAGGAAGTAGTGATGGATTTTTTTGGTCAACACAGTCTCAGTCTTTTGTTACCTGATTCTTACCTGTCCCCATTTCCGTGACTGCACACAGAATGATGTCACAACGTTCTCCGAGTTGTTTCCACCAATCACAAGCAGCCTGTCAGTGACACCCAGGAAGTAAAGAGTAGGAAGGTCTGCATCTGCTCTGGTGAGGGTGGGAAGTAGTTCAGACCAGGAGTCTAGAGCAAAGAGAAAATGCAGAAACACCGTTTTTTTATATGTCCGGATGAGCATGTGAGGAAACAGTCTAAACTGTAAATCTAGAGTGAGTGGACTGAGCTGAAAGCAATGGAGAAGACAAGTATGAGCTTCCTGAGCTGGAAATAAAACCATGTTCTGATCAAACAGAGCTGTACCGCTGTACCTTGTCTCGTGTTGTACTGCAGCAGCAGTTTCTCTCCAGTTCTCTGGATACTCCCCAACACATAAAGACAGTGTCCATGGCTAGTAGCAAGGGGCACGTCATGGGACAAGGACACAGTAAACTGGAAGTCAGTGAGTGGCAGGGAGGAGACAAACCTAAGGCAGAGATTATTTTCAGTCACCAGTGCACCAACAAATGACTGAAGAATGCTTTTCTGAAGGGGAAACATTTCAATTAGAAAAGCATAGAGCCAGTGCTACACAAACCTGCCAGCTGGTTTACACTGACAAAGAGGACACAAACCTCCATGTGTCCTCCCATGGATCATAGCATTCTACAGCTGTATAGAGAGCAGTGTTGGAGTCCGGAGTCACCAGGGAGTCCAAGTACCAGCCTCCCACAGCGTAAATACAGCCTCCACAGGCCACTGCACTGAAATGCCGTCTGTGCTGTGGACGCAGGAGATGGTGACAGTTTACTTTAGTGTCTTATAAATGACTGAGAAAGACAAGGCAAGAGAAGTTTCACTTGGGTTAAGACAGACAGATCAGCTTGATTTACAAGCTAGAAGACTGTCTCACCTTAATGAGAGGAGCTGTTGATGCCCACGTATGAGTAAAGGGATTATACCTAAAGGAAGCCATCTTGAACTCCCAGCCTCTCTTCACACGCTGCCGGTAGCCTCCTATGATGTACAGGTAGTTATACAGAACCACTGTAGTGAAACACCACTTATCAGCCTTGAAAGGAAGCTCTGTAACTGGATGCCAGTCTTCACTGTCCTCTGACCCTTTCAGGATGAATATATGTCGGGCTCGTTCTGTTTCTGGGTCGTTCCAAGAAGTTAGGTTCTCTTTCCTGAGACTGCAGAGATATTGGTCTCCTTGCATCCTCAGGTTAATAATTTCATCCTTCTCTTCATCGTTCAGACACCTGAGGGATGAATCAGTTTTATAATGACAAGAAAGAAATGTGGCAAACTCAGTTCTTGTAGTAAATCCTGATTACAGTCCAAAGCGTTACCAAAATTAGAACTGAATTAATTTGAGCTATACAATCATTTAATGATACCATTAAGTGTTACCTACTTGGTGAGGAGTGACAGCTCTATCATGTTTCTACTCATATAGGTCAACACTGTCATCTTCAGCTCTGCACAACAGATCTCCTGAGCCAGATTGAGGTAGGATAAACAGTTATCTGGCCTGAGTCCATCTGCCAGGACTGACAGGCACTTCGAGAGGAAGGTCTCAGTCAGGAGATAGCTGCTGACCTCCAGAGTCAGAAAGGGTTGAAGCATGAGGTCGTAGGTTAGTTTTGGGTTGAATCAGAGCAATACAGGGACATGGATAAATGTCTATGGAGATCTGAATCTCTGATTGCATACCTGGATGTGTGTGCCCAACTCTTTCTGAGGGACTTTAAACTTATTATAGAAGGAGAATTCAAGGAGATTGTAGAAGACGGAGGAGGACAAATGGTCCAGGTGGATGAGGCTCTCTGAGGTCTCTCTCATTTTGGACTGGGACAAGGCCCGGAAGTACTCACTGCACTCTGAAAGTCTTCCAAGGTCCACCTTAAAAATGAATTACTAAAGTCAGTCTTCTACGGCCTTTGGTTAGTTTTTGATTAACATGCACGGCTGGAAGAATTGTTTTGTTTTCTACTTACATGGAAAGCATGTGTACTGGTTTGGACAGTAACCATGGTTTTACTTCCATCTCCTAGGTGATATGTCCGGAGTGCCTCATTGGTTTTCCACTCCTCTGAGTCTTCTTGGCATGATTGCCTATCGCTGATACCTGGGGAGGCCATCCAAGTATTGACTATTGGAAAAGCTCTCCAAAGTCTTGTAAGTCCATATTTCAGCCATAAGCCTATCCACTCAAAGAGTGTCATAAAATATTGCCTGAAAGGATTCATCTCACTGATACAGTGTTCTAAGTTTAACCCATTCCAAACACTTTTAATAGCTGTCTGTACCAGATGTTACACACAACCACTGCTCTAATTACAAATTCAGAATGGCACTGTAAATCCTCCATATAAGGTGAGGCAAGCCCCCCGGAGACTTCAAAATAGCCACTGTACAATGCAAAAATGGAGGAGAGAATGTTCAAGTTTAGTCCATGAACCACCGGCTTGTCTTCTTTTCCCTGCCTCAGCTCTCAGTCACATGCCCTTTCACAGCACAAACAGTGAAGCAGCTGTCAGCGATTTAAGACCGCGTGCTAACAGAAACAGCATGGTAAATAAAAGGCTGGTAAAATAACAACTTTAACCTCAGAATTCCTGTTTGTTCTGCAACAAATCCAGCTGATTCAAAAGTATCCCTTGATCTCTGAGCAGTGGACTTCTTTCTGCTGGTCTATTCTTGGCACATGGAGGTGGGACAACAGTCAGCCCTCTGGGATGAAACATGGCCGCCTTCACTCTGCTCTTGACGTCATCATGGGGCACTCAAGTTACCTTGCAGTTAGATGGCAGTAATATGAGTGTAACTTCATGTTTCATACATTTGTTACAATATCTTTTATTTTAGGCACTTCACTGATGAGAAGAAAAATGGGTACACTGAAAGAGGTTCTAAGCACACAAATTTATTTGCTTTTAAATTATATTTTTAGTAGTGCAAATAGGACCCACATAATACAGAGAAGTTCTAACAGAATTAAACTGTTCTGGGACAGTTTTGCTATAAAAACAGCTACAGTTAATGAGGCACAGTTAAGGTTCTGTAAACTGATGCAGCTATGTGTAAAACAAAATTATGGAGATGTTAATTGATGGCAGTGCATTCGGTCAAGTCCAGGAGACAGTTTAAATAAATAAAAAAATCATAAAGAGATTCAAACAAAGCTTCTAGAACATTTGAAAACCCCACTTCACATTCAAGTGAGCAACAGGAAAGTCATGTCACTTCATTCCAACATAGATTTCAATTATTGTTGGCTCTAATTTAGGCAATCCAGTTTAATGTGGTCACATATATGTGCCAAATGGACATTTTAGTTAACCTAATACAACCCAATGTTCCAAGTTATTATTCTTGGCAGAGAAAAACAAAAAAAAGAACAAATAATAAATCAGACTGACATCAGAGGTAAACAAACTGAATTAAATATGGATGGATAATTAAAGGTGCAGCAGAAATGTACAGTCAATAACTGATATCTAAAAGTGGAGACGATCCAATTTCACTGACTTAAATGCCACACACTTAGTAACATTAACAGTATTGTTGACTACAGCGATACTGAATAAAATAGCCCTTGTGATAAAGTTTTAACTTAACATTTAAG